TCTATGGAAGTCAATAAAAAATAGGCGAGATAGGTTGGTAGGACACCTTCTCAGGCATGAAGATCTAGTCAGAGACATATTAGAGGCAGAAACAGGAGTTAGGAGGGGTAGAGGTAGACCTAGATTAGATTATTCTTCGCAAATAGTTAGTCTTAGGACTGATGACCTTATGATGATGATGATGATGATGATGATGATGATGATAATAAAAGTAAATGTAACTGGCAACATAATGTCACTGTCGTAGCCATTACGAATAATTAGCTACATTCAGTTCTGCCTAGACAGTTCTGAAAGTTATGCTGGTTTCAAAAACATGCAACTGTACAGATATGTACCTAATGGGAAATGAGTATTCTGAATATTATGTTAATAGATAAGCGAAATAAAATGCTGACAAGATTAGAAATGCAAACGAAGTGCTTCTAAACTTATCAAGAACATGAACTAGTTTAAGTAATCGTAAAGATCAAACGTTGTATTTGATAATGGTTTACTAACTATTAGTTGTAATACTTTGGTCTAATCACCCCCATAAATTGACTGAAATTCAAATCAAGAAAATCAAAATAACTTTTCTAACTAACTAAGTGTCACTGTAAAATCGAGTTTGTTTAATAAACACCCTGTTAGAAATGAAGAGGTATTAGAAAGAATAAGGGAACAGAGGACTATGGAAGTCAATAAGAAATAGACGAGATAGCTTATTAGGATACCTTGAAGGTCTAGTCAGAGACATATTAGAGGCAGAAACGGGAGTTAGGAGGGGTAGAGGTAGACCCAGATAAGATTACTGTTCGCAAATAGTTAAGGATGTGGGTTGTTCTAGTTTTAGGGAAATCCGAAGATTAGCTCAAAATAGGAACGAGTTGAGGTACGTGTCTAACCAGTCTTAGTACTGACGACTTTATGATGATAACATTAATTTATTTCCTTACCATATTGTCGTTATCTCTAACTTCCCTTTGGTAGATACCAATACAGTAATACTACTATATCATCTGCAAATATAAGCATGCTAATTGCTTGCCCCTGCATGTCTATCCTTAATGTTATCATTCCTTTAATAATATTAATTGCGTTTTCGATATATAGATTAAAAAGTGACGATAGCATCCTTATTTAACTTCTTTCTTATTAAGCAATTATATCTCTATGTTACCGATTAAGTTCTATAACTACTAGGTGCCCTTTATCCAAACTATATGTCACTCATCAATCTGATCCCTACGCTTCTAAGTATGTTCAACGACTTTTCTCATTTAACATTGTTGAAAGTTTTTTCTGAGTCTTCGTATCCTATGTGCGCACTCTCCTTTTGCAATGGTTTTTCTATTATTACCAGTAAAGCTAAATTGGCCCAACCTATTCTAAACCGAAGTGGGTCTTCTCCTGATTATAATGATTCTTCGGCTCCTTTTTCCATCCTTCTCTTCGCGATTCTAGTGAGCAGTTTTGATACGTGAGAAATTAAACTAATTATTCTAAACACGCATCCATCCGTATCTCTCATTTCTAGTGTGGTACTATGTTACGTTTATAGTCCTACCCTTTAAAGTGCTTCTAATAATTGAATATATGTAGGTACGTACCAATATATTTTGTAACGCCATCTACTTGTGTATTAGAGACGTTATAAATCAATAGATAAATGCAGGTAACAGACACGCTCACGAATGATCACTAAAAGTATCAAAAGACATTTTTTTCACATGTAAAAGTAAAAGAAAATATCTTTTGAAAACAAACTCAAACGGAGTCTACGCCACTGCCTTCCCTTTTCAACTTACCTGTTTGATAGAGTGTTTCCAAGATATGTCCTTTGGATCAACCGAACTATTTGTTAAAACAAATACAGCATTTTCTTCGACTAAACTTTGTATCTCTTGACTTTGATCTTCACTAGTGTCATTGTTACTCCCGTCTACTTTCACTTCCATGGTCGTTACTGCAAATAAAATTTATTCGGTCATTATCATACACATTGTAAGTGGATTCCAGATCGCAAATGTATTCATACAGACACGGATACACATACACAAAACACTAGCAGGCTAAGATTTACTTTGAACAAAACGGAAAGGGTTTTTTATTGTTCGAGAAATATTGCAAACTGTAATCTCCAATATTGTGATTTAGTTTCCAGCTATAGTTGCGCACTACATAACATAACATTTATCAACTTTTTAATAACTGGTAACTGCAACGTCAAAAACAGTCTGATGCTGTTAACTCATCAAGCAATTTTTGAAGATAAGAATTGTGATGGCACAAATAAAATACTATAAAGATTATTTATTCGCATATACTACTTTAGTTAACATCTTTATGGCATCGCGTAAAAGTAAATATAGTAACTTTTTTTATTTACCTTATTATACGAGGGACGTCAAATATGTGAAATGGGTACCTACGTATTATACCTAATAATAGAGTAATTCATAGTTAGAAGAAATATTGGTAGGGTGACTCATTTTTACATAGAAATTATAGGTTTTTTACTGACCTAGAAACATTTTCGTATTACATTTTTACTCTACCATGAAAAATTGCATTTGATCATATAGTTTCATTGGTATATATTAGTCCTCCCCCCCACTCCTAAGTTCACCGGCCAAAGACCTTTTACATCTTTGTTATTGCTCGAACCCTCTCCCCTCCCTCTCATACACAAACAGAACATCCAACATGATTTTTATGCAAGTTAATTTGTGACAATGTGGACAATTATTCCATAAACGTCTAAGAGAATACCAATAAAATAATGTCTGACCTACGATGAAACGCGTACATCGAGTTCTAGCACAGTATTGTACTTATCCACTAGTTTTTCTTAAGCAAAAATATTTGTTTTAGTATTAACAGTTTTGTATTTAATTTTTATGTGGAGCTACCAGTGGCGTAACTAGGTCCTAATGGGTTCGAACTCTCATAGGGTGTGTCTTACCCATCGCAAATTGGACACAGCACATCATAAGGGAGTCTTTCTGATTTCAGTGAGATTATGAGGTTCTAACTCCAGCGTTTCGCACTTCTTTTTACAGTGCCACATTAAATATATACATACGTATTATGTAATCATTGACACTCACCTTGAGACATCCCAAACTTAAATAGATATATAAAATGACCCTATTTAGATACTTACACAAATTGATAAAAGCAGAACCAAATTAAACAATCAATTCCTTATCTCTGTTAAAGGCTAATTGAAAAATTTTCAAATTTATCGCTTAGGTTACGTCATCTCATATTGAATAAACGATAATTTCCATTAATCTTTCAATTGCGTAACTTTATCTCCTTTGGTATTTTAATTAACCAGATAATTATTAGTAGGTATAGGTATAAACAGGGTGGTTCAACACTGCGGGTTCAAATACGTAGCTCGTAGCACAAAAAGTACGATACGAAAATTGTAGTACTACAAACTGAAATTCTTTTTCTATATACAGGGTGTTTCGTAAGTTTTCCATAAACAAAACTTATTATTTTCTTTAATGTAGTACCCTGCATTATTTTTGTATTTTATTTTTGGAACCCTGTCAACCGTTACTGAAAATATTGACTTCCTACTTATAGGTACCTACATTTTCAGTAGGTAACGTATGTTGGGACTTTAGCAATGTTAAAAAGGGTTGACGTTTTTGCTAAGCATAACAATGCCTCAAAAACAAGAAACTAAAACGCTAATCTTATTGCTAGAAAAAAAAAAAGAATTTACCCACCCTCTTTTGAGAGGATTGGCTGTTGCTAGCAAGTTCAGGTAATAAAACCACTTTGTATTTATTTTTGGGCATTCTTTTCAGTAGATCTAATGTTCATCGTTTCTCCAACTAGAAGTTGATATAAATAAAACAAATACTGGCAGTATAAAATTAATTCTATTAATTAAATAATACAAAAGTTACAACTTCTCGTTCAACAAAGCAATATTCGAGTGTGTTCACCTTTTTTTTTGTTAGATATCATTAATTGGTGAGAAATTGCACAGATTTACACATAGTTTTGATTAAAATTGTCAGTCCTAGCTTTGTTTCGTTCTTCTTTGGAGGTTGCTGTTGTGCACTATCGCTCGAAGAGTTGGTTTGTTATCACTTGTGTTGCTGGTAAAATTTCTAAATTGCGTTGTGTTATAACTCGAACACGAGTCTGCAATGCTTCGACCATCCCCTTCGTCTCGAGGTGACATCTCCGAATACGGCGATAGTCGTTTTGGTTCAGTCTCATCTTTTTGCGAGGTCTCTACCCTAAAAGTAATTGTTTCTAGAAAAGCCATGTTATCACTTCAGAAGTGTATTTGGATTGTGCGTCTTTAGGTTCGACGAATTTAAAACTTGCACTACAATAGTTTCGCTACACTGTAGCTTTATCAGGTGGTGTTTGGATTATGGTGATAATTGTTTAAATATTACCATTTATGGGAGGGGTGCCTAAGCAAATGTACAAGTCTAAATTTAACAGGGAAATTGGTCATTTGAAACCTGATGAAGCTACAGTGTAGCAAAACATTTGCAGTGAAAGTTTGTTCCTTGACATTTGTGTTTATTAATTTATAATATTATAAATTGTAGTTTCAAATCAAAATTNTTATTCGTGTTTTCGGTGATGTATTTAAAAATTCTGTTCTGCATTGATTTTAACTTTTCTAACAAAAATTTTGGAAATTTCTATCAGGTATAGAATTACATCTTTCTCTTGCCTTACTTAACTAATGGATTCGCTGGTTCTATTAGTAATGTACATATATTATGTCTACAATGTTCTATCTTGGTATTTTTGCATACCAGGACAGATTTACGAATTATTCCGCAAGTCGCTATTGATTAAGCACTGTCTGCGATCAAATGCTTCTAGTAACCGACTTACTATGGGGCATTTGACTCGAAATATTGACCAGAAGTCCGATTTATTGATGATACTGTAATGGTAATTTCTGCTACCTGCGGGAGTTCAGTGAACACCGAACTAAGGATCGTTAATACTTTTATGGTCCTATGCCCTTTTGTAATTTTAATACAACTCGTATACACGAATGATCTTCGAGTTTTTCAAGCAGTTTTACCTACAGACGTTTTTACACGAAATTATGAAAGAAATCTATTTTTAACATATTTCCTAATTAATAACACAAATTGAAAAATCCAACTGAAGAAAATATTGGGGGGGGGGGAGCACCCCCCGACATGCCCCCTTTGACCAGGGGCTTGTTAACCCCAATATTGCTTTGATTAAAAGGAATTTAATACAAAATAGGGGAAGAAGATTAAATAGATATAAAATAATAAATAATTTATTATTCTTTGGTATAATTGACCAATTTTTTCATATCATTTAGTGTAACGTTTCGTCTGTTATTAAGTTTTATTATGCTAATTAAATAGTTACTTAATACAATTAGAGCTATTGTTATAAATTTGTATATTAGTTATTAATATACTTTTCTAGCAATTTCGTTATTTAGCTATTTGATTGTACGTAATAATTTTCCATCAGTTCCTCATCTATGATTTGTAAAAAATAATTAGATAGGTACTATGTATTCATTCCTTACCCTATTGCTTTATNATTACTAGAGGGCGCTAGTGGGTTCAGCAATATACGACTCTTCTGCTGCAGTTGGTTGACGTTGGTGGTATTCAACCAAAAGACATTTTCCAGCAGAGAATTAATATTTATTTCGTATTAAAAGATAGCAAAGAAGTATTTTCCGAATAATAGCACCATATTATTGCTACGGTGGAGATTTAGCAAATTTTCTTGAACTAGTTTCGAAGATAAGTTGAAATAACACATCTGCCGAAAGATTAAAGTAATTTGTTTTGACTTTATATTTAACTTACCCATGTCCCTTTTTATTCTTCACCTCCCTTTCCAAAATATCTGCAGTTGTAAGTTCAGAATTCTTGATTTGTTGCAATGAGCTTGCATTTTCAGATAACCACGGTTTGCTCAGTTTGAGTGTTTTACACTTACACATAAATTCTATTTTACACCTTTGGCATACCGATCCTTTGGTTCCGTCCGTTCTTAGTTCCGTCTCTTCCAGGATAGTTAATGTAATCTTTTCCAGCTCCTTTCCATCCACTGGAGGATTGCTGGACGTTGAGGTCTGATTAAGAAGAAGTTTAGAAAGCGGTGGTGCCAAACCAAGACCTAGACTTCTTTCGTGATAAACTTCTGATATTGTTGGAGTTAGCTCTCTATTAATATGTCTTAGTTGGGTGGCTAAAATAGCATCGTGAATTGTCGTAGCACTAGGCTTGGATTCTTTTGGTAATTCACTAGGGGTTGGCTCGACCTCTTGTCTAGTCTTAGGAGGTGAACTTTCAGGAACCATATCGTTGGGAGAGAAATACAAAAGTCTTTCGTTAGTCGTGATATTTTCTTCAGTTGGTAACGTAACCGGTTTGCGCACTGAACTTTGGACTAAATTGGTATTTTGTGAGGGGTTTATCTCAGTTCTTACACTAAGTCTGTCCAAAGTGGACATAGGATTTTTCATCTTCTTTATTTTGTTCTTTAGAATACAGGTATTGAAAAATTTAATTTCCAACTTCTCCAATTCACTATCGGAGCTATTCTCAAAAGAAGCGTTGGCAAGATTATTATATAACATGTTTTCGCCCACTGGTTGAGTCCTTGGCGGTGGTAGGGGTGGTATGGTACTTTGAGTTTGTCTTCTAAGAACAGTTGCATGTCCATTATCCCAGTCGTTAACTGAACTGGCTGAACTTGAGGAATCAGGGCGTAACGAATCATTCTTAGGATCATTTTGAGGATAGAGAGTCCTAATCCTTGTTTGATGTGCTAATGATAATGCAATGTTTTGGTTGTCAGGTTGCAGTACAACCGGAGGACTGGGTGTGAACGCTGCATCTGATTCGCCTCCACCAGGTCTTGCCAAAGTATTGGATTTCCTTGTTTTATCATTGGCAGATGAACCGAGGGTTACGGCTTTTGTGTCTGACGGATTTGCAGTACGACCATCTGGTTCACCTCTACTTCGTACATAACTGGTAAATGCTCCTCCTAAGCGTTTACTTGGCAACACAGTCCTCGAGAAAGGTGGAAGTACCCTTGGCAAAGTTTGCTTTTGAGGTTGCTTAGGTTGGCACATGCTTATTTCGTTGTCAGAATGCGAATAGTCGTTATCTGCGGATGCAAGAGATTCAAGACTACTTGATGAGTCAATGCTAAGGCTCTTTGGCGCTTCTTGGGTATCTAAGAAGTACAACATAAGTAAAAAATTTGAAATGCTAAACAAGTTGAATGCATATTTACCAAACAAAGCCAGTAAAGCCTGTAATGTAAATTGAAGATTTCTTCTGTTTGCTTGTTTCCCTGTCCTGAGAGTTACTTTATCTTGACCTACATCACATAGGTCAAACCCTAAAGATGCTAAGAGTTCGTGACAACCTGGGACTCTCCATAATCTGAAATTCGATACGAATTTTGTACGATCTTATTAATATGGGTATAATACGAAAATTGTAATAAGTACCTCACACTGAGAGAAACTTCTACGCAGTCGCTGTTTTCTGAGGATTTTGAAGAGAACTGAGTCATTACTGATTGTATCACAGCGATTATGTCGTCAGCAACTTCTGCATTGGAAATGAGTTTTGACAAAGCATGTAGAGACGTACTAGATAAACCTGTTGGGTGAAAGCATAAACTTAACTAACACATCTTTTTTAGCCTTTGTCGCAACAAATACGGCAAATTATTCATGAATTTACATAAAAGAAATAATTTTTTAAACCTTTTCAAATCTAATTTTTGATTTCTGCATATAGTCTGTTTAATAAACATGGACCTGAGGTTTCAGGGATAAGTTAAGATGATGTACAACTGTTGGTACTGGTCGCGTTATGGAAGGCAGACCCGTTGAACCGACAGTAACTATTGAGAGAGTGTATAACTAGAGGGTTTTTATGGGGTGCTGATAATGAAGACCGATCAACATCAAATTTTTGGCGAAACTTGAAAGAAACTCTTAATCCACTAATAACATGCTAAGGACTGTTTACGGAGATAACGCACTAATGAAAGTGGGTTATGCGTTTCAGCGAAGGCCGTGAAGACTGCAGAGATGATGCAAGGCCAGGACGACCTTCGACCTACCTTAATGAAAACATTAAACAGAAACAGTATCTCTCCGATCACCAATTCAAAAAAATAATATGAAAGCTGCACTAGGGGATGTGGATACCAAAAAACAACAAGGCAACCGAAGAGTCTGAGTTCTAAAGATTTTCAGGAATGTTTTGAATAATGTAAATGGTGATGAGACAACAAATAAAGGGTATTTTAATGAAGATAAGTTTATGTATCCTAAATTTTGTTAAATAAAATTCTTACGACCACATTGCCCATATTTATTGGAGAACCATGTTATGACTTAATAAAGAAGGCTCGATTAATCAAATAGCAAAGGAATGTTGGTCTGGATTGAGTTAGTTAAATTATAGTACATACCTAATAAAGCTTGAAGACTAGCAGAACATTGAGTCAGTCTTTCATCAGGATCGGATTGAGGGAAGAAAACACTGCTGGGAATACCATTGGAGGCGGGTTCGAACCTAAATCCAACCGACATTAAAAGTTCCTTCCAACCTGTTACTGATCCGACCTGAAATATTCATGGTTAGATTATGAAATTAATCCTTGTTTTCATCCAATAATTACCTTATTTTCAATCGATTTTTGAGTAGTATACATGGCATTCTTTTGTCCTCTGTGAATTCGTTGCAAGCTCTTTTCTACCAGATGAAGAGTAACTCTCAATGCATCTCGGCATTTATCAGGAACTCTCAAAAGTTCACACAGCGCTTGTCCCATTAAAGCAACCTAAGCATTTACAGAGTTTGCATTAAAACAAAATTGTGTTACTCTTTTAATTAATTTTACCTTATTTGACAGTCTTACGTTGCTACCAATTAGAACGAATCCAGCCCAGTTAGCTGGATGTGCAAAATGCTTAGTGTGTTGGACGGTTTGCATGGCTTCAGCAAGTGCTCTATAGAAGCAGTTATTAGTCAATCAAGATATATTCAGATAATATAGAAATCTTATACCTGGCTGCTCTAGTTCCTTGTAAAAGTGCGGAATAAAAGGCCCTTAACAAAATTTTTGTGGCAGTGTCAGGTACAGGCCAAAGAGATATTAAAACAGCTTGAGCGCCGGCCATAATAAGGGCTTTTACCAATGTTGTCATTCCATCAGATGTTGCCCAACCTTGATGGTCCCTAGTATGAGATGAACTCAGCTGAAATAGGAAAAGTTACACTATATTCAAAAAATAACCAGATGATTTCAAACATACCACGACTAGTTTTGCTGATAGCTGTAAGGAACGGATATCAGATGCTGTTAATAAGAATTCGGAAAGCGATGGAATCTCAGCTGTTGTTGATACGTCGTTGCCGTCATCGTCATCTCCGTTATCCGACATGTATAGTCTCTTTGATGGACTTTGTTCTAACATCTAGCGAAAAAGATATTAATGTAATTACTTAATTATATTAATGAATAATGACGCGTACCTCGCTAGGGCTCAGAACAATGGCTGACATGTTCCAGGATACGTGAGTGGCAAAATGTATACATTCAGCATCTTGTATTTGACTTATTATATGTTCTTTGGTTGCCTGACTTCCAACAACTGCCTGCGTTTGCAAAAGTTCTGCCACAATGTTAGCTTCTTGTTCCGCTTGGGGTATGTCCTTCCAACCCCATCGTTCTGCGGTACTGTGAAGCACTTTAGGATTCCCAACCACGAGACTTCTGACCGCTTGATCCAGATCATCTTTCTTTTGCCTGATTGTCTTTAGACATGCCAAGTTTGGTACCACGAGCAGAGAAAAGCGTTCGCATAAATATTCGGAATTCTCATTTGCAGAGCGTAAAACGGAAAAAGGCACAAGATATAAATCTTTCTCCAACACAATAATTAATTCACGACGGAACGTATTGTCTTTAGGTGAGGAACCTTTAAAAATGTGAATAGTGCAATGTTTTCCTGCAAACAATGAAGCCTGTTATTTGTCTTACATGTTTTTGATGGTAGATAGTCTTCAAAAGGTTGTATCAGAAGTTGATATAAAGCATTTAAGCAACTGGGACCTTTCCACGACAAAGGTTTTTTTGAAACTCTGGTCGACCCCTGGGCACTGGCGCTTGACCTGGTAGATCCCTGAAGAGACGCAACGGATCCCCCTACACTACCCAAGGAGAATAGGGAACTCAAAGAGTAGTTACTTGAATTAAGTAAGTGTTGTCTGTTAACCATTCTTAGGAATCCTTGAAAAGCAGAACAAATGAATGATTTTATTTTGCTAACTTATAGATGCTTACTTACCTGTACGTTCAGACATGGTGTCTTCAAAATATTGATCTTCATTTATGGTAGAACATGGAGACAATTCAATTCCTAAACTGTCTCTCACTGAGGTTACAAGTCTTTCTAGTAACCCACTTCCGGACGATATTACGTCGTCAATATCTGACGTTTTTGAATCTACGGCATTATCGGTGAGAGATGCAGAATGAAACTTTACAACACCTGCAATCATAGAATAAGAATAAGGTTAAATTAATTAAATAAATATTATTAATACCTTTTGTTGGAACTATTAACCATGCGTATAAGAAACCAGCTGCAATACTAAAGTATAATACTGTAGAACGTTGCCTATTCACCACCTCTTTTATACGGTCTAAGGAATTAACAGGTTGCTCCTCACCCCGGGTAATTTTGCCTTTATTTTTTATATGACATGAATGTTTCTCGCGGATTGTCTCTAAAAATGGCCCATTACGACCCTTTTCTGCAATTACTAGGGCTTCATCTTGCTTATTTAGACCTAAAAGGTAATATTATTTAAAAAATCAAGTGTATAGTGAACCTTCAATATCTCAAACTTACCAACCAATATTCTTTGTAATATCTGATACGTTGATACCTGTAATTCAGATAATGATAATTTGTAGTCGGGACAAGTTTTCGTTTCTCTGCTCAAATTTTCTAGCAAGTGGGTGGCGGCTTCCAGTTGCTTTCGTGATTCTTCTAGTTCACCGTTTGCCCAAAAAGCGAGGCCCAGTCGATTTCTTATTTTTGCCTTCAATTAAAAGAATTATTTTATTCACTCTAATACAACCAACATTCATCAATATTTAGAATTTTAAAAGTTGAAAAATAGTACCTCCTCATCCCTTCTTCCTAATGACTCAGCAATGCAAAGACCCTGAGAAAGGTAAGCGATGGCCTGAGCTCGGTTTCCTAGAAGCTGATGTACTCGCCCAAGAGAACTGTATGCAAATGTTTTTGACAGCTGATCGTTTGTACTGGCTGCTGCTGATAAATGTTGCTCCTGATACCTAACCGCTTGCTCTAAGTTTCCAAGTGCTTCATGCACAGAACCTTAACAAGGATAGCAACATGAGAGTGAATGAATTGCTGATTGACAAAAATGCACATACCAAGGTTTCCAAAAGCTCTTCCTTGGAACTGTGGCAATCCTAATTGCTCACCAATTTCCAAATCAGTTTGATGGTATCTCAAAGCCGTGGTGTAATCTCCCATCTGTTGATAGACTAATCCCAGTCCACTAATAGCGTCTGCTTCCATTACTTTATCATCTGATACATAACAAACAATTAAAGGAGTCTAAACAAAAATTGGATAATGATTATAACATACTTAAATCTCGGGCAATACTTTTTTGATGTTCCAGACAAGAAATGGCTTGTTCCAAATTACCAAGAGTGGCATGGAGCTGTCCCAATTCTCCATACGCTGCGGCTTTCGCTTCAGAATTGCCCAATTCATGAGCCACTACTAAACGCTTCTCAAAACACACCAGTGCTTGTTGGAGATTACCAAGAAGTTTGTAGCTTTGACCTGTATGTCAAATTATATAGGTATTATTAGTAGGTCAGAAGTTTGGTAAATATATTAAGATTTACCCAATCCTCTATATGCACGTTCTTGGTCACGTACACTTTTTAATTTCAAAGCAATAGACAAATATTGTTCATGACATTTAGCTGCATCTTCTGGGTCGCTTAAGGCGTCATAGCAATCTCCTAAGTTTCCAAATGCTCGACCTCTGTCAAGTTGAGATGTTGGAGTGCTCAGTCTTTCCAGTGTTGCTAACTGTTGTTCAAAATAACCTATTGCGTCTTCATAGTGTGACATGTTCAACCTACCCATCGAAAAAAAAAAACAATGTAGTGGTACTTTTCTCATATTAATTTGAATTTTTGTGTTATTTACCTAGTTATTCCGAGATTTCCATATGCTTGGGCTTCAACTCCGCAGTCTTGTAGTTCTTGTGCCCTTTCTAGCTGTTCTTGATAACATTTTACTGCATGAGTATAGTTTCCTAAAGCCATGTGCACAGCTCCAAGATGGCCATGAGCTCTACACTCACCAGATAAGTCTGACATCTCTTGTCGCAAAGTTAATTCTTGTGTGTGATAACCTTTAAAGGAAAAAAGGTGCCTTAAAAATATAAGTGAGTTTCATTTTTAACTTACCAAGGGCTTTATCAAATCTTCTAAGCAGCCTGTGAGCGATTCCCAAAGCACCACACGCAGCTGCCTCCATGGGTCTATCTCGACCACTTCTAGCTAATGCTAACTGTCTATGATACATTTTTATTGACTCTTCTACTTCTCCCATTTTAATTAAAACATCTCCTATATTTCCAAGAGCTCTAAATTTACCTGAAAATTAGTTCATTAAGATTATTCCGCAAGTTCCTAAATGTCAACGTTTATTATACCGGCATTGTTGTTGGTCATGTGAGCAATCGCCAAAAAGTATTTCTGGCATTCCAATGACGTGTCGAGTTGGCCAAGAGCGAGATGGGCAAGTCCTAGATTGCAATATGCCCTTCCCATATTCATCTTATCCTGCAGGTCCTTTGCAAGTGCTAAATCTTGGTCATAATAACGAACAGCTTCACGGAAGTTGCCAATACAGTAATGAGCATACCCTATTTTTTATAGTACAAAAAATTAATAACGTTGTAGTAAAAACAGAGGCTTAATAATTTACCTAAAAAGTGACAAGCTTTAGCTTCACCTTCCACATCCGCAAGTTCCTGAGAAAGCATCAGGTATTGTTCATAGTATGGAATGGCTTCAGCAAATTCTGATTTTGAGCTCAGACAATTAGCAAGGTTTAAAAGGGCACAAGCTTCTCCTGCAGTATCCTTTAGTTCTCTAGCGATTCCTGTAAAAAGACGGTAGTTTTAAAATTCGTTTTCTTTAAAATATATTTTATTAAACATTATTATTGTAATGAATTACTCCCTTTACCTAAGTGAGCTCTGTAATGCATAAGCGCCATATCATGGGCTCCCAATGCTTGGTATGCCACAGCTAAATTTCCATGAGTACTGGCCTCAGCACTCCTGTCATGAACTTCTTTACTAATGGTCAGTTCTTGTTTGTGATATTTGATGGCTGATTCATAAAAACCAGCTGCAGAATAAGCATTACCAATATTTCCATAAGCCCTACCCATTCCTGCCCGGTCTTGAAGACTTCTTGCAATTGCTAAATGGGCTTGATGAAGTTTTAGAGCAGCATCGTGTTCACCTGCAAAAATAATGGAGAAGATTATTGATAGATTGGAATTTTATTTGGTTTAAGTTTAAAGAAAAGACAGACTTACCAAGCAGTTGATAAACGATTCCTAAATTTGAACATGCTCTTCCTTCCGCAACTTTATCTCTTGTAGCCAGGGCCATATCAAGTTGCCTTTCATGCCAATGTTTAGCTTGAGCATAATCTCCAGCACAACGAGCAGCATGGCCTAGGCCAGCATACGCTCTCGCTTCTACAGATCTGAAAATTTGCGAATATTTTTTTTGAATGCCTTTTAAGTTGCAAAAGATTTTATGTTACAGGCTTTTCAATATTTTATATATCTTCTTGTTTAAGAGCAATTAATAATAATTTTTTATGATGCAACTTACTTATCTCCTATAGCTTGTGCTAATCTTAATACTTTTTCATGGTATACGATTGCTTGTGAAAAATTCCTTCTGTAGTGATGACTCGATCCTAAATTACTGTAGGCCCGCGCCTCTTCAACCTAAAGAAATTAGAGAATTGTTCAGGAACTCTCAGAAAAATTGAATTCATGACAATCAGTAGGATGGTCGCAGGCAACTTTATAGTTTGTTTAGGAAATAAAAAGATACTGAGAAAACGTTTAACGTATCCACCCATGGATTCCAGGATTACCTGTGTTCTTTTTATAGTCCAATTACCTACGACCATCTCAAAACAATCCTTACTTCAATCGGCCAATTTACAATTTATAACTCACTTGATTTCCTAAACGCCTTGCAATCTTTAAATGTTGAGTATGACAATCAACTGCTGAATCGAAATCGCCCATGGCAAGGTAAACTGCTCCAACGTTTCCAATTTCTCTTGCTTCTTGTAATTTATCTCCCATTTGTTTAACTAGCTGTACACATTGTTTATGAGACGCTAAAGCATTTGGATAATCCCCTATTGCTGTATATACATGCCCTAATGACGTCAGCGCTGCTGCAGCTGCTTGTGTATCCTGTTAATTTAAAAGTAGTAATTCATAATTGTAATGTCAAAATCCCAAATCAACTTCAAAGCTATTGGGTACTTCTGTGATCATTTAATGAATGTTATAGCATTTTAATAGCAGACAGTTTCGTAATGGTACCAAATAGCGTTAGAGGAAATTGTTAACTGATTTTTTGATTTTAAAAAATACGAATTATTGAAGAACTTACCTTACATTTCATGGCAAGAACTAGTTGATACCTATGAGCCGTTAGGGCTTCTTTGTAAGATCCCTGACTAAAATATGCGCTTCCTAAATTTCCATGGGCTCTGCATTCTCCAGCCGTGTCTCCTAAACTTTTGGCAATGGCTAGATCTTGTTGCATATATCTATTGTTGAAAAGACAAATAAGATGTATTATTTCTAATGGATTTTATTATTGATTTTAATTTTATTAAAATATGTTATAAATTTGTATATTAGTTATTAATATACTTTTCTAGCAATTTCGTTATTTAGCTATTTGATTGTACGTAATAATTTTCCATCAGTTCCTCATCTATGATTTGTAAAAAATAATTAGATAGGTACTATGTATTCATTCCTTACCCTATTGCTTTATCAAGCTGGTTTAGTGCCCAATGAGCAGAACTTAAAGCACTAAACACCGATCCTCGAAGCTTTAATGAACAAGAACCGATTCTTAAAGCTGATTCGAGAACAGTAACTGCAGAATGATACAAGCCAGCAGCTAACAGTTCTTGACCGACAACCTGCAAAAAATTTTTGATAACCAACTGATCACCGGCAAAGGCTAAGAGCAACGGCAACAACGACTTACTGATATTAGTACGAATGGACTTTGGTCAAGTTTCATTAATTCTAACTGTTGAAAAATAGGCTCTAGGTTATGCCTGAGGGGGGACTTAATAGAGGCTTCCAATAGAGCCGATAGCAATTGTTGAGAGGATGGATCTTGAGCCAGTCCGGCACTGAATGCTGCCAAAGCTTCGCCATGACTTCCCATACACTGAAGAGCAACTCCTTGTCTAAAATAGAAACATGTAATATGTACAATGCACAAGGCAATTACTTTTCTTATAAGAACTAAGGGTTTCTTGCAGCAGTTGAATAAAGCAAAACCTGGTCACATATCATCAGATACTTGCGGCAAGGAATACATTACCTAAAATGATCTTAGATAACTGACTTTAGAGTTACAGATTAAGAGTTTTCTAGTTTTGATGTATATTATAAACGATTTTGAGTCTGAGATAAAAGAAAGTAGTAAAAAAAGAATTACGGATTGAAATGTAGGTACACCTTCTTCCTTTATAGCCATATCAAGCTTATGGCTTTACCATGGCGTAGGTACGTGTAAATACATTTTTAGTTAAGATTGAATGAAACACTTTTGTTTCATATTTTAATAAGCACAGATCGGTTGTTTCATTTATAAATTGGAAGATGATCATGCGCGAAAAGTTAAAAGCAGTAATTTTATATTATTGTATTATGCCATTTTCAAGGACTCTCAAATACAGGAAATATCAAACATTTTAGAAAATACTCCAAATGGCGCAGTAAACGCCATCTGTAGCACGATGCTACATTTTAGGATTACGTATGCTCCAACAAGGTCCACTTGTGTGGATATCTACTTGCTGAAAACGAACCCCGGCATAGCCAACCTCAACGTGATAGACACGTTAGCTTAATCGAATCAAATAATTCGAAGTGGTCTGTATTCTGTCGAAACTGCCAGACGCGGATCGCGATTTCGATCCTTTTGGATGTCATCAGCGCGTCGCAGGCAGCTCCGATAGAGCACAGACCAACTTTTACCTGCTGTCTTAACAGTGCGTTTTAGAAAATACTACAAATGGCGCAGTAAACGCCATCTGTAGCACGATGCTACATTTTAAGATTACGACCAGCGACGCGCTGATGAGATCCAAAAAGATCGAAATCGCGATCCGCGTCTGGCAGTTTCGACAGAATACAGACCACTTCGAATTATTTTATTTAATATCAAACATGTTGCTTTAAAGCTTTATGTTACCTTATTAAAATTTATTATTGAACAGAATGAAGTTACAGTAACATTCACATTTACCAGAATATTCTAAAATTTTTATAGTACCTACAACATATGTAGAAGTACCTACCTGTAATAGGCCTTTGGCCAGGTAGGACAAAGTTCCTTTGCTGTAATGGCGTCTTGTAGGGCCTGAGCAAAGAGCCCTTGCTTTAATTTTGCTGCTGACCTGTTCGAGTAGAGGATGTGATTTGTGGGATCCAACTGTAGAGCGTCAGTATAAAGGGCAACAGCTGTAGCAAAGTCCCCATTCTGACAAGCTGCGTTTGATTGACGAACCTTGAAAAAATATCATATGATGACTTTCCAACGTTAATTTCATCTATTGTGCACTCGGTGTAGTATGTTTTACTATCAGAAGGTCGTTTTACATCCAACAACATTTTGTGTCCTAAAAAAGCAGAAAATTTGGAGGATCGCATGGGGTATTGGAAATTCTTTTAGGTATGTTAAGCGATTTTTGGTATTTTTGAAGTTTGAAAACGCTTGAATCCGAATATGCCCTCAAACTTGTTCCAATTCATCAGGATTGTATATGCCAACTTCGAAGTTCAAACAGAAGTTGATATTTTCGAGTATATTATCACGTGGAGTAAAAAGACAAAGTAACCAAGAGTATAATCATTTGTGAGGTATCTTCTATTACCGAATTTGAAAGTACAATTCAACAAGATTTTGAAATGTCTTAACATTATTAAAACTCGACTGATACTAATTTGGCTTATTTGACTTTGAAATTGTTTAGAATTCCAATGGACTACCGCCATTTGGAGTCAGATTGCATTTGGTTATCAAAAAATAGTACGTTAATACACGCTATTGTTCTTACTATTCTAAATGTAAAATGACAATGAAAATGTGATTGTAGCTATTGACCTGCTTTTAAAGTGATTTCTGGGTTGGGTCAGATTTGTTCTAAGTCGATTCGACTATGATAATAATCTACACTGTATTCTTTTAGACATTCTAAATACCATATCTTCCCCTGATATTTAACAATTTTTATGCATTTAGTGTAACGTTTCGTCTGTTATTAAGTTTTATTATGCTAATTAAATAGTTACTTAATACAATTAGAGCTATATTGACGGTGGTGCGAAATTTGTACAAAGCCCATTTTATTGAAATTTTGGAACTGAATCAAAGTATAGTTATAGATATAAAAATTTCTTTTTAACCAAAGCAAAAGTGTTGTTAAAATTATTTCATTTAAATAAAATTAAAGCTTCAAAGTCAAAAGGATTAATTGTGCTTCAG